TGGCTTGAATTTGACGGAACGCATATTATGTGTAATATATTCTTTCTTGTAACTGATCAACGGTATTAATTTGTTCAGCATACACTAGTTGTTTAAGCGCCCTACAAATTCCTTTTTGGGTTCAAATCGCGAGACCTCGCAGACCAGTGTACGGGTCCGTTTCTGCCAATCCATCGTTGACTAAAATAATTATTTAACCATGCGGTTATGTCACGACGAACATGCGGTGGGGCACTGTCGAGCTGATACCATATTCGTACTCTCGTTGCTAACGGAACATCATCAAACACATTCTCTAGGTAATTCTCTAGAAAAGCTAAGTATTTGCATTTAAACATTGTGGAAATACGTGCATAAATACTCTCGTAGTTGGCCATTAAAAATGCCGCACCAGACTTTTCTAGAAAATCAGTGTTGACACGAGTGGATTCTTACAGAACAGATTTTCTAACCACCAAATATCTTTATTATGAGAATTAAAGGTTCCACTCCTCGTAAAAAGTGATTTATCTGACCACAAAACCAGATCAATAAAATCTGTATTTTGATTAGGCATTTTTAGTAACCTTCGTCGTCGGGTTGCAGACGTTGCACATTTTGCCGATGGTAAGAATGTAAAACCTCTCGATTAAAAATTCTCCATCCAACGACTTTGGGAACTGGGCTGCAATGCACCTAGTACTTGTACTAAGATCATCCAACGGCAAACTAATCACCACCAGTTCCTCTTGAACAGTATGCCGAACACCATGGCCTCTAACTCCGGGAAGTCTTAGAAATGAACGCGTAAAAAACTTTGGGGTAGGTTGGCGTATGTTAGGAAATCTACGTTGAATTCGCTAAAGCATTTCGATTACAGAACCCGCACACAAAAATAATATCGACGTACTTACCATTACTAAGTTCCATGTCACAACACTCAAAAATTAAAAAAAAAGCAAATTTAAACTTGACTTTTACAAAAAAAAATGGTTCCAGTAACAATAATAACCCTATAGCACATAACTTTGACAAACCATATCCTAAGAATCGTCAAGTTGGTATCAAGGCCTCTTATTTTATTTTGAAACGAATTGTATATCGGCTCTTCATGAGTGATATAATTTGTTTTATTTTTATTTCTATAGAAACAGTGCACTCTAGGAAAAAAGTGATTATTTGTAGCTAATTTAAGGTAAAATTTGAAAAATTGCGCCTTTCAAAAAAAAAAAACAGTGGCATACTATTTTTATTTGGAGAAATAATGCCACTAATCCCCTGTATCTCTGTCACTGGTGCAAGTTAATACAAAGTAAAGAATGTGGACAATACTTATGAAAATCCACAGAAAATTTTAGTTCATTCCAGTTAACGGTTTTGAATATATTAAAAAAATGGTTTTTCATTTTTAAACTTCAGCACCCCGTATCTTTTTAATGAAGTCTTCGAGGAACCGTTACCCCTCTTAAAATGCGGTCCTCTGTATGATGTTTCATTTCTGGTCACGACTTGCGAATCACCTGGTATATAACTTTTTTCGATTTCGTAAATGAAACTATCCCTCTGTGTCTCTCTAGGCAAGCATCTTCTGTTTATAGGAACTCTTTTGTTATTTTTGGATGTACCTACAGTTCGGTAATACGCTTGCATCACTACAAGAAAGCAAACAACGATATTAGTGGAAGAGTCTTCTCACCTTTCACAGATAATTGTGGCCTATGCGTGTCGACTCAAATGCTTTGGTATGATCTTGGAAACATCACCATACACGTGAATTGCTTATCTATTATACAGAGCTTTCCAAAAAGGACCCCCGAGTATTTTTTTAACGGGTTACGGATTCGGTGTGATCAAATTGATCCACAGACTACATTTTGATGTATAGGTGTCACCTGAAAATTATAAGATACCACCTCAACACCATCTTGAAACAGTGAACGGACAGGAGAATGGGTGGCGATGTGATACCTCAGTTAATGACTCTTTGCCATAGAATAAATTTACTATTTTTCGAAATGGCGGACTGGCGGGCTGTCAAATATGAGCATCTTTGTACATTGCGTCGCTTATGACCGAATACCTAAATACTTAACCGCTATAATATGCTGTACCAATCTTCTCCGTGTGGAAGGGTTTATCTTAACCTGCTATAAAACATGAGACAATTTACTTTAAAAATTGATAGATTTTGGTATTTTTTTTAAATGGTAGACATTCTGTTGGTTTCTTGTTGAACTACAAGCGATTACATTGATGCTCTAATTTGACAGCCCTCCGGTCTGCCACTTTGAACGCAAAGTAGATATGCCTAGCATTCGTACATAAATTTCATTAATCCGAATCTTTCAGCTCACTAATCTAACTCGTTCAAAAAATAATTTGCGGGGCGTAGGGCTCATAGGAAATACTGCATACAGATATGTATGCATAGTGAGGATTTGTGAGCTATTAATCTGTATCGATGATCATTCCATTGATTTCTTGTCTGAAATACAGTTAGTTAGTTGCGCATCCGCTTTATATTAGTTAACCTGGAAATTATGTATGCAAATTTGCTGAACTTCAAAAAAGAGAGCGATAAGAAAATAACAGGTGAGAAAATATGGTACCTACATGCAGGAATATTTATGAAACGTAAAAAAGTTATTACATTTCAGATTAATTTTTATTTTCAGTCATTTAGATTTTATAGAACTTTATTTTACGATGTCATGTAGAAAATACTAATCAGCGCCTAGATGTGAGGCAGTGCGAAAATGTTTTGTATGTGATGCGTCATTCCTAATTTTTCTAAGGTATAATTTAATTACACAAAACGCGGTTGCGGCGCTGATTTCTCGTAATGCTTTTCAAAGTTGTTGAAAACGTAAAAAATAACTTGGAAAATCGTAATGTATAACTTCCAACATAACCTCTCTTCAGAAAGGACATCACAAATTATCCGGCTCGCACAGCGTATAGATATATTTCATGGGCAGCATAATCAGTAATAATGTTATCACATAGCAAATATCACTGATTTTAGGTATACATATGCAGACCAATACGCAAAATCATCCAAATGTGATCTTGCTACGCTGCTACTCAACCACACATACATCTTCTCAGTATACTATCTATACAGATTATCTCGGATTTCTTCAACCAACAAATTCCTCCATAGATGGATGCTCATAGCGAGTAAACGCGAAATGTACTGTTTGCAAACTATTAACTACATCTAGGCAGCAAGTTGACATTTTGTAGTTTTTTTACGTTTTATAGGTTGTTCACGTAATAGCTATGCGGAATTAAAAATGCCTTTTGATTCTGTGATAGAGATGATAAGTAGTAATGCCGGTTTCCAGAATACGAAATGCCGTCTTATGTATTTCTCAATATCTGTCATATGAACATCAGAATTGAGTACAATCCAAAATAGGAAATATATTCGAATAACTCGCTGTCTGAAAAAAAAGCAACGTTGTAATTTCATCGCGATGTTGTCTCCTTTCTGTACGCTGCTAGTAGATGAAAATCTGATGCTCACCACCTAACAGTAGTTTTGCTCAGCTGATTTTCGTCATGTCGTACGATGAAGACGATAGGCTGTCACAGTCAACGTGTCAAGTGGTCGGAAACCAGCTATTCACAGAGTAAACCAGCAGTGACTTTTCTTTGCATATATGCAAACTAGACCTTCCGTAAAAAGCGATGTTTTATGCTCATTAACAAGTCATTAGTGCGGTATAGATCTCAGGTCTAGTCGTGGAGACAGAAGAAACGGTAAGCAAACACAAACAAAAGAATGTGGCCATTTGGAAATCTCGAAACATTGTAAAGATGATACAATGCTTCGAGTTTTTCAAGATACCACATCCACCTGCTTGCTTTCCGTTTTGTCTACCTCCTCGACTAAACATAAGACGTATACCGCACTGATGAGTTGCGAATGAGCATGAAACAGCGCTGTCTGCGGTTGGTTTTTGGTTACAGGAGACGAAAAGCAAACATGTCCTTATCAGCTGCCTATTTCTTGTCTTGGACCTAAAGTATACTAACCAGCTTGTCCACATTCGAGTTAAATGCACAGTTCACAATCAAAATCTGAATTTCCCAGTGTCAGCGCCACATTTTTATATGAATAATAAAAAATGAGTGAGTGCCAGTTCATATTATCTATCGCCGGCTCCACACGTTGGCCCCAACGTTGGTACCAACGTTGGTCGGTAAAGTTGGTGAAGCGTCCACACGTTGGTTATTATACTAGTTCCTTTCTGTCAGAGCCAATGTGAAGATGTCCGACACCGAAACCGAAATTGCTCTAAGCGCCTTTACAGTACTGATGAGTGCGTATAATTTATATTTGTTATTGAAAAAAAAGAAAAAACCACGTCAAAGGAGATAGTGGATGACAACGCATCATAAAACTCGATACCAGTAAGTACATACCATACACTCCATTCTAGCAGCTTTTTACAAGGCAATTTAATATTAAATTATTAGATAATTTAATAATAATAAATTATACGCACTCATCAGTACTGTAAAAGCGCTTAGAGCAATTTCGGTTTCTTTTTTAATTCCTCAATAGAATAAATCATTTTCATATTCTGTTGAATATTGCGCCACGCATCGGCTACTAAATTTCTATTTTTATGGTCCTTGCGAGAGGCGTTCCATATTATTGGATGCGCCTGGTATAACTCTAACAATTCTACAACTTTTTCGTTTGTCCACGCGGGTAGCGATGTTGTTGATGACATTACTCCACATACGCACTCGACGCGTGTTACAACAAGACAGAGCCAGTGAGCCAATATGTGGACGGATTGCCAACGTTGGCGCAGATTCCTTTGATAAAACCGACAATCGACAGCCAACTACCAACGGTCGCTCCAACGTTGGGACCAACGCTATTTTCTAGATACACACGTTGGGCGAGTGGCGTTGGGGCCAACGTTGGGGCCAACGTGTGGAGCCGGCGTACATGACGTTGCGTCGATGAAAACATTGACATCTTTCTGATTCAATTTATTCATGTCATACACATACAGTACACAATAAATACATTTAATTACATTTACATTATAATTTACAGTACGTCTTTCAAATCAATATAACTTTAACATAGTAGGTTCTATGTATATATAACTTATTGCATAATATTCAACTTATATTAGTATAGTTACTTAACAGTATATTTTTTGTAACACCGCAGTCTTTTAATTTTCGGAGTCATTAGATTTAATATACACTGCATAAGGAAGTAGATAATTATAATTTTAGTGCCGTTTATGTTGGGATGAGTTAGGTCTAGGCCAACTATTTGCTACTTTTGTAACATGTATATGTGTGTATATCGTTTGTATGGGAACAAGGGGAACATACGTAAAATACTCATTTGTAGATGTGTAGTAACTTTTAAAAAGGTTTCTTCAACATTTTCTTCCTTAAATGTTACTGCACTTATTCACTATTCAATAACATGTTTGAAAATATTTAGTCTCGTAAGTTGAAACTTAAAGGCAAATGTTACATTATAGCTGAATTGCAAAATCTAATAACTAACAAGATGACGAGACGTGAATTTTGTAATACCTAAACCAGTAACAATGTAACAATATGTACGTTAACTGTGCATTCTATAAAAGCTATGCCACGTCACCTGTATGACCCTGCGACTCAACTTTCAACCGACGTTTCATTACCCCACCCAAAACATCCTTGGTCTGAAAGGGTATCTAGTGATAATGAAGGGCAAGCGTTAGAAACATTATCATTTATTATTATATTTGTTGTTTAGCAAATAATAAAATACTCTGCACCTGAAATCCCCGCAATTTCAAGGAATAACAGAATGCTTACAATTTATTTTGATCGTTAGAAGTAATAGTGAAAGTTTTCCAATTGAATCAGGAACTGAGTTTCTGATTGGCTTAGTTTATACTTTACTTAACGATGTTTGAACTTAAGATACTAGTTTAAATATACCGAAGACCATTCTCATAGACCCTCAAGAAGTCTAGTATGCAAAATATGAGTAGTACTCCAATCTGTCAATCAATGGTATGTCCTTTTGGGGGTACAACTTGTGCTGATGAGATAACTTTTCCATATCGAACAATTCAAAAGATTGTATGTGAAATCCTGACGTATTCAGAAAATTCTTGAAACATCTGACAACGAACTGATTGAGATCTTGTCAACACAGGCAGGTCAACAAATTATAACAAAATAAAAATAACATTTTTCTCGTACTTTTGTCTTTGCTGCACAATTTGTAATTGTAATTATTGCATAGTTATGGGATCTACTATAGTATTCATTTCAGATTTGGATAACAAAAACAAAAAAATCAGGGTGTTCAAAAAAGAAATAGAAATTTAGATTTTAGAAAAAGACGATTTTTTCGAAGAAAAACCACATTTTCTATAATTTTATCGTATCAAGCGTTAAAAATAAGGTTAGCTTTGTATGAGGTTGTTTGTCTACTTCGCAAAGCAATGGTTCTTGAGATATATAGGAATATTCATTTCGCTGTTGCTTAAATGCTGCATACTGTATAGTATGTATATGATAATCTCAGTTGACTATGGCAAAAATCGGACGAACGACTAAGGACATCATGGCCTTATGGCCAAGATCAAATATACGTATGAGGCATCTAAGCCAGATAAAAAACAATATTTTGATAAACGTCGGACAAGTAGACAACCTCATACATAATTAACCTTATTTAATATGTTGAGATTACAAGGAAACGGTGGTACTCATTTGGAAAAAATGACCTTTTGAGTTTTTAAAATTCATGATTCTCACTCGCTTCTGTTGACCACTTTGTACAATTTGTCATCTAAATATGGAATAAATAACATTTCCTAAAGTAGGTCACCAACTATAAAAAGCCCGTTACAAATCATACAGCAAAATTAAAACTGAAGAAAAATAAGATTATAAATCACTAGCCTGTATTTGTCGTTTTTACGCAGAACATGAAGTATCTATGAATAGGTTGAACTTAAGTATGGGATGGTATACATGAAATGTATTTAGAATCCCGTCTAATATTCAAAAATTGAATAACATTATATATAAGATATTCTATTTAAAATACGCATGTTGGTATATGCTTCCAATACAACTGAAAGTAGCATACTTTTACGTTTTAACAGAATTGCACTCACACTCTTAGCCTCCTGTCTGTCATCACTCACACGCAGTTTAACCTTTTTTTGCTGAGGTAGAAATATGTTTGTATGAAAAACTGTTTTAATTCATCATTTCAAAGAACATTTATCATCATTGAAATATAAAAAGTTCTACAGTTTGAGTTTAGAAATATCAGGACGAATCACTTGACAGTAACGTTCTGTATATTAGCTGATAGATTAAAATCTGAAAAATAATCTTGGAAAAAAATAAGAGAAGATATATGAATATCAAGAATAAAACACCTTGAATTAAATGTAATCAAATATGGATAACTTAATGAAACATATATGTAGTGTTCAAAAATACATTGAGGCATTGACTTCCATGGAAAAGGTGTTCTCATGTTTTCAATAACTTAATATAACTTATTGTAATATTTACTATAGACAATGAGAATAGGGAGACAAAAAATCCTTGACTTTCTTCTTCGTTAATTAAATAGTATTATTGTGAAACAGTAGAATAACTTACTTTTTCTTATTAAATATCGGCTGGTATTATAAAAAATATGATATTGATAACTTTGATGAAAAACAATCGTTGGCTAGGCGAAGCTATTACAACGAAACGCTGTTTTTGCATACTGCAGTTCTTGGAATTATACTGTTATTATGTCTACCACGAAAGGTATATGTTACATCCAACTTTCGTCCGAAGAGATTACTCGACATCATACGAACAGACGTGCAGGCATACATAAATGTACTTTTTAGCTTGAATAAGTTCCAAAGGTGTTAAGATAAACGTACAATGCACGTATTATGCGGGGCAAACGGTATACTTTGTTGGATGCTATTTGTAGATTTGCGTAGGTGTTCGGCTGTGGGCGGTGTATACCATCAAGTACTTTTGTTTAAAGTAATTGCTTTGAAAGCAAGTTTACGATTAATGCTACAAGGTTAATTTATATTTTGAAAGAAGATCTGATATAGGGAGGATAAGTACATGTAAATCATGCAACCACAAAGTCGGAGCCGTCCTTAGCAGATTCGAGGCCTGAAGTAAAACATTTTTGCAAGACCTTTTTTTAAAAAAAGTGGTCTACTCCTAAACTTTTTTAGAATTCGTATGCAATAAAGTGTTTTTAGCATTTTTGATGAAGCCGTTTCATCTCAAAACACGCCAATTATTTACATGACTTTTTTCATTTGCGACGGTTGGGTCTATTTATATTTTTGATGTAAGTATACAATATTTCAGTCTGTGTAGGAATTGAGGTAAGAAAGAAATATGATTTATGACTATGGTCTAAACTCTTCCACTTTAAGCAATGAACCATTAGGAAAATTATAATAAAATTTAGATCTCTCAGAAAATAAATAAATTTGTATGACATATCTTTTCTTTTCTAGTGAATATTCCATCATAAATAAGCACATACTATTACAAAATATTCATATTATTTGCACATACTATATTATGGTCACGATTATTTCCTTCGTAGGTTTTATATTTAGTTAATAATTTAACATATTGCGAGAGTAATCAGATAGATATTTTACGTATATCTGTACATTATTATATTATTTTCATTCAACCAAAACTTTTTACTTATTTGTTAGCGCGAGTAAGGCCCTGCACAAAGTACGTGTAAAAATTCCGATTCCTAGACACTTCTAGAAAAAATATATTAGCATACGTCTGAAAATGCGTCCTTATCAAGGTACAGGATATTAAACTTTTTTACAGTTTACGGAAACATAGTAATAACATCCTAGCCGATCTAAATGCTTGTATTATTTAGCAAGTCCAGAAGTATTGACGGAAATTTAACTAAAATGAATCAAGGCTAACGTTTTACTGAAACTACGAATGCGGTTAAGTTAGATCAATATATTTAAATCCGTTAAATTTTTTCCTTTGTAGGGCTTTGGTTTTGTTATTTCTTCAATTCGACTTAAATTTACAGCATTGTATCTGTACATGCTACAATTCAACAAAATTTAAAAAAGCGGTACGATACGATTAGTGCACATTTATTTCAAAAAATAAGTTTTGGTCTGAGATTGAATGCCCTTGTAACAAAATTGAAGAACGGGGGTGGGATAGGTCTAGGGGGGTGCACGTCTCACGGATTCAGGACTAATGAAGTAACTTTATATTCATTAAAAAGAAAAATGGCATACTTGGACACCCCGCGCCCCCTGCGCCACTGTCCAGATCCGCCCGTGTGCCGCTTACACATGCAACCCTTATGCTGGCGATGCAGGACGTCCTTACGCTTTTCCGCACATCTGAACGACGGCCTTCGCTCCTTGTATTTTAAAAACGAAGGATTATCGGATCACTATGATTTCTTAGAACCAATCATGGAATCACTTTTTCAAAGTTTGGCCAAATACTAGCACGTTTTATTCTTTTGTCAGGAAAAAATCAGAAACAGTTTTGCAAAAGCTGCTTTTTTTCGGTGAACTGGTTATTAGTTTTATACTAATCATACTATTGAAAGCAGTGCCCCTTGAGCGAAGATACCTTTTTGGAATAAGAACGATGGTACTTCTCGTGTATCAAAATAACTTGAGTTTAGTTGTCAAATGAAAGAGGAAAAGGAATAAAGCATGTCAGCATATAAATATTCGCCGCAAGATAGACTTCATAGTGATGACTCCACGAAACTATGAAATGAATTGTTAAAAAAGCTACAATGAGTTGAAATTTCTCCTCAAGCAGCCTATATACAATCTAATACACTCTTAGTTACTTAGTTTCACTCGTGGGATGTCCTTCGAGTAGTGTTTTTAATCTCAAACTGGAAGCTTCCATCCACACTTTCTTGCTTTTTTACATAAGTATGGAGGGATATAGAACAGTATAAAATAATAAATTCTTTATCTAACAAATCGTATGTTGAAGGCTCAGATACCTGCTACTTCTCATTTTGATAAAACTCTGCAAAATTCGTTGTAAAGCTGGATTCAGTGTATGAAGTATAATTTTATCAATAAAACTGACATTTATACATATATCGCATTAAACAAAATATGTTTCAGTTCAAATACAAGCATAAAGAAAGCAATTTCTTCCCTCATAGTAGCCTGTGCGGCTACTTTGGGTGTAAAAAAAGTAGCAATTTTACAGATAACGTTTTCTTATAAGAAAGCAAGCAGAAATAGATATACTAAAAATGGTTATAGATGTCAGATTTTGGGATAGGTGCGCCATTAAGAAAATTGTGAATGTAGGCTTAGATACGACCATTTCGATGCAATAAAATACAACAGTTTATATCTTGTGGTTTTTCAGAACAAGGTCAAGTTAATGCTAGAAATTCGAATTTCTTACATCTACTTAATGAAGCCCTCAATACTATAGTCCCGGAGGTGCAAAATATAAGTCATAAAATAAACTTATATTGAATTTTTTTTTCGTAAATTTTGTTTTGATCATACAGTATATATGGAGTAACCACTCAAGTCGCTAAATATTTCTGAATAAATTATACGACTCAATAAATCCACAGTTACAAATGTTAACTGTTAAGGAAACATTAATAGAAATTCAATTACCAAATAGATACTAATATGCAATTACTTAGTTATCTTGAATCTAGACTATGCTAACGAGTTAAGGCAAAATGATGTAATCAACGATTGGTTTTTGATGAATGGAGCTCTCGGAACTCTCCTAAACCAGAGAGATTTTGCGTAACAAGCTGTGCATACGATAATTATGTTGAAAATCTGTTCAACATTTATATTGTGTCAACAGTATATCAATATCATGTGGCTATATTTTGACTAAATGCCATTAATCCTATTGCGTGATTCATGCAAAAAATGACCTTTTTACTATGAGAGGTGCATTGTAATAATAGCAATAAGCATTGTCTCCAAATTACAACAACATCGAATTTCGTGAAACATTATTGATATGTAAAAAACATTCATTTATGGTATTTTAGCACCTTTGTTACTGATATACTCCTACCTTATAAACTGTGTCATTCAACAAATACCGAGAGAATGACACGACTGCAGATAATTTTGCTGCAACATGCATTTGTGGTGTCTGCCTAGGTTCTTCAGTAAAAATTGTGTCCTTGCATGCTAGGAAGTTTTTTGAAAATTAGAAAATAATTTTGAAAAAAAATTCTAATTATTCAGGGTATCAAAATACATTTGACAATGGTATTTTTTAGATATGGTAAACAGATGAATGTTGTGTTGATTCTTGAGAATACAACCTGCTTTTCTTTATGCTTGTATGGTGCCAATTATATCGGATTCAGTAGAATATCCAGAGCATTTTTAGTAATGCTTGTAATCTGAAAAAAGCATTCAACGTGCAATTAACTTTTGTGGATAAACCATGAAATGTCATTAATCAAATATCATAGCAACGTAACGACTCGAAAGACACCCCCGATCAGCCATTTTTACACGTTGCACTTAGAACGTCGCTTCTTATCATCCTTATCCAGAATCGCTTTAATAGAAATTTTAACGACAGAGTCTGCTCGTGTGTAAATATTTCGTGTGAAAAATTTTATTCTACCTAGTTCATCATATTTCTTTAATGATCTAGTGATAGTTTTTATTAGTGTTTGAAGTTACAACGTTGATTTTATAAGAAGCAAGTTATAATTTGAGTGATTTAAATATCACTTTTGCTTTCCAATATGAAAATGAAAGGACCGTAGTAATAGAAATACTTAACTTGTGTTTTTGATACAGAACATTGTGCTGAATTTATACACGGTGAGCATGAGGTCATTTTCAATCCGAAATACCATATATATGGATGACATATATATGGTATTAAGCACGGTTCTTCAGTTCTCACTATTTGGACGAATTTTAGAATATCGCTACTTTTGAGATTATCATTCTTTTTTCTGGAATGTTCTCTTATCATGTCTCAATCATCCTTACAGGATATGTTTGTTCCCAAATAGTTTATGACAAAAAAAACTGTAAGTGAAAAATCAGTTTAATACCTAAATCATCACAATCCAATATCCTTATTAGTTTGTTTGGGCAATACCTTATGTCTAGAGTCCATCCAAGTTTGAAGATTTGTCCATTAACTGTTGCTTTAGGGGTTGTCAATAGCAGTTAAGCTCAGAAAATGTACATTTTCGAGATCCTTGCGTGGAGACTATTTAGGATATTTGGTTATTTTAAAGTTATTTGGGAAGGATAAAATATCCGATATTTTTTCATAACACTTTATCTGCCCAGTTATTGTTTCTACAGGCCTACCTCAATATGCCGTAATATTTTTGACACCAGACAAAATTACGTTAAGCCGATTAAGCTGATTGAAGAATAATAAAAGATAATTTCTGAAAATGAATACATGGCAGTCCCAAAAGTAGCAGATTTCTACAAATTTTTCAAAATGGTGACAACTACACAACCATTCATAATCGGTTAACGTCATAAAGTTTTTATGAGTGGTAATAACCCTCTATATCTTTTGGGATGCCCTGTATAAAAGCAGTAAGATTGCAATACCGACATTCAAAAATAAACAAAAACTAATTTGATTTAATTAATTACCCAATGAAACTCGAAATCAACTGTTACCTCATTTAGCCAATAATGTAGCTGAATCTATCCCATTCTTGTCTTGAACCCGTTATAAAGAATATCAATTCTTTTCCAAACAAGTTTCTTTCCATTTTAAAACTTTCTCGAATACATTTTATCTACTTTCAGCTTCTTCTGCGAAATAGCAACATGAAGCTAGAGTTTAATTGAATATGTACGAACTAGGTGGGTATATAGAAATATAGAAAGCCAATTTCAACTTCTAAATGTAGGAATGTTGAACTTTATTATTCGATCTTCCTATACGATTTTTAGTAAAGCGATTCATACAAGAAGTGACATATTTGGAAGAGGATGTGGACTATGATGAGATGGATCCAATGCAAGCATGTCAGTGAAGTTACATGTTTTCATTTAAAAACTTAGCATCTTTAAATTACTTCTTGACAGTGACAAGATGAGCAATCAGGTAGATTATAAGCCTTGGACAAATCTCATACTGTTTCACTTAAATCGCATGACATACTAAGTTGAAAGACACTTTTAAGATACATAAAAGGCGTTGGCCCATTCTTATGACTTATAAAGAATTATGAACGGTGACAGCATTAAAATGCTAAGATATGCCAGAAGCTCAAAGGTCTCCTACCCATAATGATATTACATTCTTGTAGTGATGGTAAATCCATGATAAATAGCAAAACGTGAAATAGTTTTCTGGATAAAGTATTGATGTTAAAAAATCGTACCACTGTATTATATTTCGAGTAGGTATTTTTGAATTACCCACCTACCCACGTATCAGAGCATGCTATATTTGTGTAATTTATGTTATGATTATAGATCCAATAATATACTGGTTCGGTCATTTTGAAGATTATAGCGATTCTGATAACGGGTTAGCCAAACTTTTCGCTTTTGTTGGCCCCTTGGAGGTCAGCAGTGTGAATCGATCAGAATACTATTTAAATAATATTGTTATTCCCAAAAAAGCCTCTTAAATTAAGATCAAAAACATCTTTTTAGTTATTTATTAATATACAACAAAATGAGAAATATTGCTTCATGATTGATTGGTCCCTGAACATATAAACACGAATTCTTTTCTCCAGGAAAATACTACGAGGCTATCAGAACGTCGTTGAATTACACAGTATCATCCAGAAATTAAGAAAAACCGATTCTATATGCATTCAAGGTGTAGATCACTTATTCTGGGAAACATATGTATATTGTTCTGTAGAAACTACTTGTCCACAAAACCAAGAATTCAACAGGATACGACATAATACTTCGTTTTATTCTTTAATTTAGATGTTGCTGGTATTTCTGATCAGCTATCCGATTTTTTCATAGAATTTTTGAAGTGGACCCGGTGTACCCGAGAGCGTAGCTTTACTTTTTGCTGAGCAACATTATCACAGGATTTGTTGAACTAACAGTTAGAGTTTGAATTCGGCGTTATAATTGGAATGATTATTTCATGAGTCTTTCATCATGTAGGATTATTGTTATTTCTGGACAAATAGTTGATTCAAAGTAAGTAGTGCTTCGTTGCGTGGAAAGCTGTTGCAATAGTTTCTACGAACTGATTAGGCAGTGCCAACGTTATGCCACATTTTATAGCCTGGTAGAGATGTCATTGTCTCCTTTTGAAATATATTACAGAAAGCATACGTTTGACCTGAACTGCGAAACAAAATAGTGAAACGAAGCGTACATAGCAATAATACATATTGAATATTAAGTCCATTAAGATACACACCATGATCCTCAAACCGTTCCTCAATATTCGGAATAGATTAGCCAAATATATAGTTTTGCTTCGCTAGGATATAAAATGGGTACCAGTCGATCTGAGTTGAGAAATTTTGTATGATATATTTGTCATCTGCCTAAAGATAAGTCCTCATACGGTCAAAGGAATCTTCTGATCAGTCTGAAAAGTAGGGTTTTAAAGTTAGCCTTATTTGCAAATATGGTGAATGTGTCGATGTAGTTCTCAGTCGGCTTACTGAAAAAAATATTTCATTAATTCACCTTGTACGAAGCTGTTGGGGGGTGTTATGTTAGCACTGAGCATATTCCTTACAAGGTTAAGGGCAAGTTGATTTTCAGATGTTACGGCTGGAATAGATCTGGCACGAGTTGTTCGGGAATTCAGAGAACTCAATAGGATAGTTCGCTTCTCAAAGGCACAGAAAGATCATGGTTGTTCTATGGCCTTTATATGGTCAAATCAAAAACATGTGTAATTTGAAAATGAAAGCGAAAACGCAGAAGCGTGAACATTGCTTTAAGTTGGAACTTATAATTCTACCTTACACTGGTCAATAAATGAAACTACTAACGTTTAATGTGCTACTTTAGTGTAGTGTCGGCTGCTATGGCAGCATTTTCCAAAGTGCAAATCCAAATTAGTGACATGTATGTTTATGAAATTGAATTAAAACAATAACTTTTATTTATTTACATCTGTCTTCCAGGTGATAGAATTAATCTGTGCATTTCTTATGCATCCACCTTCTAAGGATCTTAGTCAAGATCAATAAGACACTTTTCAACGCCTTCCTACAAGGTTCTCTAATAAAATATGTTTTTCATAATATAATTCTTCGAGTATTTGGACTAAGAATTACAACCGACACATTCACCATTTTTACCAAAAGGAGTAAACTTAATCTTCCTAAATCTCAGAATCTAATCATAGAGTTGCTTTGGTCCCTTGAACATTATCGTTCAGAAATAAGATAAATATATCATACTGTATTTTTAGGCAAATAGAGTCGGATCCATTTTCCATATGGTCTTTTACCACCCGTTTTGTTGAATGTATAGCTTGAGTTTCTCACAAATAGCTATATGTATATCTGCACTAGAGATAAATCCCTAGTGGATCAGAGTGGTTAATATGAAAGATAAGTGCAAACACTGTTTTACTCAACTAAATTATATTTCATATATATAGTCAAGCAAGCTGCATTAAACAAGAAACTATTCATCAAAAATATCAGCGCACATGTTAAATAACTAAAATTTAAATTATGTAGATCATAGCTCTACCCTAGGTGGGTGATGGAGTGTAAACTGATGGGGGAACCAGTGCTCCGTCAGTTAACTTGTGGTTAATTCTATTTTCAAACTTAAGCTCAATAGTAGAACTGCCGAGTCACATGTTCACAAAGTAGATGGTAAAGTGATTGCGGATATAGTCTATGCAGATAATCATGAAATCATTAACGTCTCTATAACATTTCCAACCGACTGGATGATTTACTTAATTCCCATATAGGGAGGTTCTAGACCTAACCTTTGTAAATCAAGTTCACCTCCCTCAATTGAGTCATTAGCGATTGGCAATGAACAGATGGTTGAACTTTTAACCCTTTGAATTAATCTTGCAATTTGCAATTTGTACCTCGGTGCCAGACTAGGTTAGATCCAAATAAGTAGTTCCGAAATGATTGCGTTCAAAATATTGATTTACAAAGTCCTGACGTACTTAATATTACAGGTAGGTGGTCGCTGTAAGTAGCAAAGACTATTATCGTGAACTTAACATATAAAACTCATCTTAGGTGAACATGGAGGTACAGATATAGATCACACACACACTATAAGAAATATCTTACGGAATTCCCTTTCAAAGATAACCCATTACTAGTTGTGGTTGGACGACAGTGGCCATCGGATCATGGGTGATCAATGATCAATTATTCTTTCTCTAGAAGTGAGATACTTTTTTGACGTTTGTCGTATTATTTGAATACCATACTCGGTTGACCTTGCATATCGAAATTTACTTACAAAGAATTCAACTACAATCTAGTAGGCTTCGGACTGACATCTGATTACTGTCACTAAACTCGAAAAATTCATTTATCGTATCACAAAAAATTAATTTTGCTTGACCGGACACGTGACTTGAATGAAACAGTCAAGTAAGATTTGTAGACGCAAAAAATCACATTATAAACTCCAAAGATATTGTCATGTGGAATTATTTTTAAAAATACTCTTCGTCCACATCCCCACCACTTCCTCTCTAATTACAACGTCTCCATCAGTTTTTGCTTACATACTACCCCCACCTCAACGGTTGCCCCAGCATACGTCCCCTGGCCGCAACTTGCGCCGCATCACCTTCATCAAACAAATGACTGCGAATGGGCGGCCGATTCTTGCCGATGCTGTTGACGCTGCCCCATCGCGCGAACATCGCTAGCGCCCTCTTGCCGGCCACCCTCCTAAGGATATTCGCGGCTGCCGAAGAGGAAATGTCATCAGTAGTGGGATCGGCGGCGGGGTATGCTGCCGAGTCCAAGTTTTCTTGTTCTTCTTCCGTCTCCGACTTCCGGTCTGTAACAGAAGAGATAATGTTGTAGTATTCTGCTAAAGTGCGTTATTATTAAGGATAGTATTAAAATTGGTAGAGGCTTATGTAGAAAAAGCAAGTCTGTATGTATTGACTATTCTCTTTACAAATGCGGTCAATTAGGATATTGTATACACTGAACGCCGCTTTCAAAGAATCGACGATTGCCTTCAATATATATGTATGAAGCACTTGTGTGCTAAGTAGTCCTTAAATTGCAGTGAACATATCTTGCATACTGACTCTGATACAAGGAGTGCTGGAACTTAAATATTTCTTTTGAGAGATCATCAAAAAGTCAGAAAAGCTTGAAAATCACAGCATCTAAATACTACGATAAATTACCTCTGCAATTCAGATACTTGAATTTAAATGCATTTAAACAGACAATAAGAAGTTTTTTAACTGAAAATGCTTTTTATTCATACCAAGAGTTCATGGATTGTAAATTTCAGTATCTGTTATTACTGTACAGCTGTTTTTGCTATGTCTTTTTATACACACATTTAAATTGTGACGTATTACATCATTCCTGTATATAGCTATTTATGCGACATGCATTCGACTACTACCATTAGAATTCGATTTTTTTTGTAAGCTACAAAATTTGGTTACAGGGTGACGTGTACAATAACACCAATAAAAAATTCTATTGTATTTATTATACAGTAATTTCTGAGGTATAGAGAGGCCAAGAGGATTACCGGATCTTTCATCTATCGGAGTGACGGAATACATAAAAAATAGAGTTTAAGAAGAGAAAGCGCTAATTGATAATGATATCGGATACAGTTTAGCGGTATCTAGTGCTGGATTTAGCCAGCACGGGGCCTGTAGCAAATTATATTATCTATGTACAGGGATTATCTATATACAGCGTGTCTGAGAAAGGTTGGGAAATCTCGAAACTGGAGGTACAGACCGAAATATGTGAATTGACCTAAAGATACCTTACCCCAAAAGTTGAAAGTTTGCGACATACAGCGTGTCAAAGTTACCATTTTATTTTCTGCTTGAAAAGTATTTCAGATATTGGCATAAAACTCGGTAAAGGGAGGTTTTCTAGTGTGAGAAACAAGAATCCGTTATTGTTGATGGCCAAACTTCTAGAGGGCACTTCTTACTGCACTTATCATAACTTTTTTGTGCTACCCTGTATACAACAACTGACCATAAAATCTTATTTTCTCGTATTTCCACCACAAGGAAGGTTTACTTGTTAGAAGTGTCTAGAGGCAACAGTTTTCGAGATATTTATTTTTAAAGTTCCAATGCATTATTATTCGTACCACGATGATAAAACATTTTTATAAAATAATAAAGTTGCATTCTATAATATCTGAGTAGCGTTGGTATGGTTTCTAATGTTTGTCATAATATTGCTTTATTATTTCATGAATAATTTTAAGTTGACAGTAAGTTGTTAAACATCGTGGTGTATACGTTTGATGAATATTCTGATATGCATTTAATGTACGGATTGACAAGATGTAATGCTTTAAAAGCACGAAGATTGTACGCTGACGGATTCTCTAATAGACACCTAACTAATTCAAAGACTTTCCAACGAATCGATCAGCGGTAACGAGAAACTGGTAAGAAATGATTATAGCCTTATTTTGAGCAGTAAAAAAAAATTGGATTTTAGGTTGTCTTGCTCAAAATATGGGCCGACATAGTGGAGCTCCCAGAACTGTACGTACACCTGAAGTTGAAGAAAATGTTTTAGGTGCTGTCTTTGAAAATCCTACAGTTGGAGTTAGGAATGTAGCTCGAGAATTGCAAGTTTCCAAATGTATAGCAAATACCATTTTTCAAGAGCAACCGCTCCCAGGCAGAAGCGGTGACCGCAGTAGTAGACTCTTCGGTCTCCTGATCAGTCGCTGTGCGCTGTGCGGGTTCGAGTCCCGTCCCAGGAGAAATTTTTCTCTTGGCTATGGATGTTGTGATTGTCCGTGGGTGGTAGACGGTCTTTGACTGTCGAACGCGGAGGTACCACCCGGCGGTTCTCGTAGGCGGAGCCAGAATGTGTGCATGTTGCATGCACACGTGTTCCCTCGCCAGAGTCCGTGTGGCGTTCCCCCTTTCCCATGTATCCCCCTATAGCCCCACGGTACCCAATGGGTGCTTAGGCCTTTGGCCTTCGTGGTAGTGGTAGGGTATAAAAAAAAAACTTGAAATTCTCGAGCTACATTCCTAACCACAACTGTAGGATTTCGAAAGACAGCATCTAAAACATTTTCTTCAATCTTCAACTACTCAAAATAAGGCTGTAATCAGTTCTTACCAGTTTCTCGTTACCGCTGATCGATTCGTATATCTAAACAAGAAAAATGAAATGCTTGATTGGAAACTAAAGAGCGGAAGGGAAGGAGTGGTGGCGGTAGCTGCACCAGTGTTCTCTCCCCCCAAAAAAATACTTTAATAAAGCGTTGGTGTGCGGTTCCACAGCACTTCTAATCTTGTTAATCCGCGCCTGGGGGTATCCAGTTTGGAGAAGAATTTGGGAAAAAATTACGATGAAATAACCTAGTCTTGCTCCACTCTGGAACTTTTGTAATGCACAGTTAAATGTTTCACCGAAATGTCGCTTGGAATATACAATTTCACCAGTTTTGAAGTGTTTATTACTCACTTTACCTTCTCTCACACCTCCCATCGAATGGCATTCAGTATCACATTTATGATTAATTTGGCATGATAATTGTAATTTCGTAGTTGTGGGCATTTTATAGGAGGACAAGTGCTCCTGGTAACAGATTAATTAGATATTTGAGAGAAATTCATTAGTTTTAATAGAGACTAACGATGGCATTAGGCCATGAATTTTATATAGCACATTTAAGCTTAAGTACTCGTCGATAACAAACCCTGCCTGGCTACGTACCTTTTCAGGAATTTCATTACTACACCTCAAACGGCTTAAAATTGGCCGTTTCGGTAAGTTTAGTTGTTTATAATATTTTTAGTTATATTGAAACCTTTAAGATAAGCGAATTAGAATAAAATCAATGTAGCTCAAGTTTGTATGAATTCCAGTGGAATTCTAGCAGATGCTGCACATAAATAGAATATATATTCCACACAATTGTATAACAGCAGCTCTATGAAGCAACCATTACCTTGTAAAAATTGTGATAACAGGTATTCAGAGAAAACAGCTATTTTCCTGGGAGCATAAAGTAATACTTTGCAGCTCGAGGAACACCCACAGCAGCACAGGCAATGTGCGCTCACTTTAATATTGCTTTTCCTACCTGTTTAGTCTGGGACAAGTAAACCCCACGCATTTGCCATCAAAACCCACTAAGAACTGCTGCCGCAAACCATTTTGATGTTTCCGGTACACCCAAAATATCAAATAACCCCATGCGCGATTCTTGGGAATGGGAGTACCTATCCCAGGTGGCTCGGCCTTTGCTTGATTTGCGTGGTACAGGACTGTTCACGCTCTTGTTGGAACACACCTTTTAGTAGTTAAATAATACTTGGAAGACAGATAAATATGAAATGTACTGTTATTCTTTGATTTGTACTTGTACGAATACTTGTAACGATGTGGTAGAAACGTTATTAAACACTCAATCTAACATACTAAATATATGCGATGGCAAAAATACAGGATATGTTTCAGATGCTACAACTGACCAAATGTTTGCATCAAGTCATCCGTTCCTCTTTCGTAGATGACCATTAAAGCCATAAAAGATTTGCTTACACCTTTTTAATGAATACCACCCTCATACATTTTTTGTGATAACTGTGCCTCTTAGCTAAGATACCTACGTTATTGAATTGTCCCGTTTTCAGGCATTTTATTCGTTTCATTCGTTTTTGATTACAAAATACCGTACATCTCTTGAAATACCACAAACGTGATTTCTCACATGTCAGCGGCAATATTGTAAAAAGCATTGCCAGAGACATTTCAGGAAAGTAAACTATTTTCCAATTTGTTGGCAATTCAGGTATATTATGGTAACGCGGGAAGACACAATTTGTTACGGGTGCATTAGTATTAAAAGGGGTTTTGTAAAGATTGGACAAGCGACATGCAAGCTATCTTCATATATAAACTCCTCAAAATGAAAACCTCTGGTTTGAATTTTTCGATTCCTTATCTCTGTTACATTATTGGAGCCGATTAAAATAATAGCCTTATAGGAAGATAGGTGCAACGATTGAGCAGGCTATAGGTGTGGCCCTCCTCGACCTAACTAATTATTTACACAAATTTCTATTGAAACCTCATGAGCAGCCATCCTAATGCTAACAGATGAGCCTTGTATGTTTGAAGGAGGAGAGTTGTTGGGATGAAGACTTGCTTTACAAGTTAAGACGTCTTAGTTATTTGAACGGTTTGTGTCGATCGACTTCTTTCACATGTGAATATCTCTAAATTTAACATGTTAGTCTCGAGTCTTGTTTTCTAGCAATATTTCAGACGGTAGAGGAACTTTTTGAAAATTGCCATGAGAAAAAGGTCATAATAGTTCAAGGATTCCCCCACTCAATTTTTGACCCACGTTTATAAAATACCCTGTATATAACTTACCGTATAGGTAACTGTTAGAGAGACGGTTCATTGCCAGAGATCTTCACATTGAAAAGCAATGAATACCTTCTTTTGATAAAGATAATACAATTATGAATGTATGTTCAACTTGTTTTCACATTTTACGTGGCGACACGGTACGTAATTTGTCCGAATAATAGAGGGCTTTTCTTACAGCTGGATATTTCATTTTATCAAAGTACATTTATGAAAAACATAGCATTTTTTTTTGTTCAAGGTGATCTTTTTTTCGTACCAAACACTATTAGTAATCTGCTACGGCGTCTAGAAGCTATCTAATTTGCACCACCACTCGGTAGATTCGCACATGTTTGTCCCAGAAGTATAAATAACTAATTTATCCATGATTTTAGGAGCTGTTGTTGACCAACAACTTTGATAGAGTAGCAATATCCGGAAATGAAAACAAAACATTCTATCACAAATTGGGACAGCTTGTTAATGTAACATCTAAAACTTATCCTGTGGTTTACATGGTGCCAAGTCTCCATGATTCCAAGCCGTTAAATGAAACCACATACGCAGACCTGAACTTTTAATAACGTTGCAGTCATCTCGGTGCCGCTACTATTCAGTATGTTGGAACAACAGCTTATACGGTCCTGAACCATGCCGAGATAGTGTGAAGCTATCATTAAAATTCTAAGATGGCACTGTGCGAATCCAGCAAATTTCAGGACCTCCTGCGCTTTCGCGCTCATAAAGACATCCAGTCTCTCCAAAGCAAAAAGCGAGGATAACGTTACATTGTTTCGGATGTACTAGATACCCTCGCTCATCTCCACAAATATACCAAGTGACCTCGAGAAAGTCAAAACTCAGTCAGAACTGTTTTCACAGCACATCTGTTGAATGTTATGCAGTTTATGGCTACTGATGCTGCCTCTGTATTGTTCATCAGTCCGAAATTCTTGAAACAAAATTGTTTGTTTTGTGAGAAACAACAGTTTGGCCTTATCGTGGTAAAGCAAAGCATGTGTGCATTTGGGATCCAATAACAAACCATAAAAGAGAATCTGGATAGAAAAAACTTATGATCTACCAGGGTATGTAAAGTTATTAGGAGTTTGTAGAATACGCAGTATTGGCTTGTATTTATACCATTCCATACAGTTTGTCTTTCAAAAAGTAGTAACATTCCCTGAAACGTGATCGAATACTCTATGAAATTTAGCCACGCACAGCACTGTAGCCTATGCTCCCTGAGGGGAAGAAAAGCTTTGCGGAATTAGTTTCTGTTTTGCTCCGAATATCAGGTGCTTTGAATTACTGCGCATAAAATAAATGGCGCAACTGAAGCGCTTTACGAGAATAACTTATATGTACTACGATTGCTAATTATATGCGCCTAAATACCAGGACACCGCGGCTGCTATGAGGATCCCAAAGAAACTTTGTTAATCCGATTTTTGAATACCTAAGGTTAGTAAAACTGGGAAACCCTCCTCTTGTAGATTGTTCCACAATCTTAAAACCCTAAGGACAAAGGAACGGTGTGGATGTACAAAGCTTGATACGGCTAGGATGGGAGGCCGACGTCAGGTGGGTCAGTCTGGCAGGCACATCGCACGGCGCCGTCATGGGTGAGAGCCCTGAGAAGCAAAGCCCCTTGGTGTGGTGGTAGAAGAGCTATATCGCCGACGGCCCGCCGGCGCGAAAGGGTCTCGAAACTGTCTGTTAGAGTTGAATCAACGATCAGTCAACAACCCTCCTCTGGTCAGCATCAAGCATGAATAATGTGGTAGTGGCGGCAGCACCCCAAAGTGTAAGCAATACTCGAGACAGGAATCTTGCCAAGAGTCCACTAACTGACATAAATAAACCGTTTTAACTCGGCGAATAAATGACTATCTTAAGCATCTTACGTGCTACGTGTGTCCCGCTAGAGTCAGTGTGTGTGTGTCTTTCTCCTGTATCCCTCTATAGCCCCACGGTACCCGCAGGTATTTATTTATGCGTGGTGGTATGCAAAAAAATAGCTTTGAATTTTTGGCACAAACATCGCTGGAAATAGGATATATCGTCGGACATCTGACAATACCTGCTATCTGACATTTTTGCCCAATTTGAGGTATATGCACATTTTTTTTTCGTTTACCTACAGCGCACATTGTGATAGAGTCCGCTAACTGCAGAAAAGTTTAGTTTTTGAATTATTCAGCCAAAACAATACCTACCACTGGCAACACGTCTGTCAATGAGCAGCAATTCCAGCTATCTGACAATTACGCGTGCTATTTTTCTTAACTTTACAATGAAACACGACGTTGTGATTTCCCAGAAATATCTCACCAAAGGACACACCCAAACGGAAAGTCACTCTGTACACAGTTATATTTAAAGAAAACTGAGAAATAGTTATTGAATTACCAAATGACTATGATAAGGCGTCAAAAGAAGCTAGGTCAGAACCAGAGCGGTATGAAGTGATCCAATTGAGTTACGACTTGTTCAAGGACTACTCTCGAACAGCGGTGCAGCGATACTCAACAATTAGACCAGGCAGGGACAATGTAGTCATAGACATCAAAGTACTATGTTATAATCCCGATGGAAAAATTGAAATGAAACTAGACTTCAGTGTAGAGCCTCAGGAGTTGCCTATGAGACCAAAACAGCTACCCATCATTTCAGATTATAAGTGTTATATCTAAGGACTGTCACATGTTTTGCGACAATTTGCCATATGTCAAGGAAAGAAGCTGAACGTTCATTTAAGGTGTAACTGAGAATGTTGTTATCTTTTTGATTTGTAAAAGCATTAAACTTTTAATTTGATATAATGAATAACAGTTTTTCTAACACGAATCTAACTAAATCCATCTATGCATCATAGTACAATATCTGCTAACTGCAAAGAAAGTTAGCAGAAATGTCAGCTATCTGCACTAATTTTGTCAATTAGAGCTTCATTTAGATAAAAACGCATTAATTATGTGTTAAACGTCATTTATTTTTTGTGACCAAAGTTGTAGAGTCTTAAGGCCAATAGTATAAAGTTGATAAGGTTTTTTTAGTCCCCAGTAAAATTACGGTTCCTGCATATAGCAGGTATTATCAGATGTCCGACGATATGTTGGCTCTGTAATTTTGTAACATTTAAAAATAAAATAAACTTTGTTTAATCGATGGGATAATCTTTCGATTTCCCACGTCAATTGAGAAGACATTATTTTCGCTAGTATTTCCGAAAATAGGTTTTTTGCGTGTTACATGACATGCACATCACAAAAAACCTTGTATGGGTCTACTTCTGTCGGCCTATCTCTCGATCTGTCCGCTGATCACTCGGATTTTAAAGAAATTTTCATACGAACTTGCTACTATATCACGAACGAAAAAGTTTTGTAGTTGAGTTGAGAGTTCCAGGCAAAAAACGAAATAAAGCCTAACCTTTGTTTTCTTGACATTTCAGAGGCTCCTGATTATTCTTAAAAAATTTATGTAGGACTTAAAAATTGGAGGTTGTAGTGGGGATATATTTCAATTCTACGGACCTCTTAGAGATATTTCACATATCAAAGACTTCGCGATTATTTGACTATCTAAATATTTTCAACAGAGGGATCGCTCGTAACCCAACATAAATAAGTCCGGATTGGACCGATGTCTTACCAATGCGTAGCTATTAAAGTTTCAATGTGTAATTGCTCTGTCAAAAGCTGTTTCTATGTTTAAGCAACGGTTTGTTCATCCATGACTCCGTATACTAGTTGTTTGATAAAGCATTAGAAAAGGCGTATCACATGAACGCAAACGACTATAAGCAATACAAAACTAAACTTTACACCTGGAATAATTTTTCCTGTGAGGACTGTGAGGCATTACCCCAATAGTCTAGGACGATAACTTAGTTTCACCAATCCTCGGCTTGAGCCGAATACATACGAACCACCCGTGGTGCAAATATGAGGCTAAGTGAATTTGACAAAAGGAATTTCCGAGTTTCTAGGAAAGAAAATGAGTTGCTAATTTATACCCAGTCCCCAATATAGGAGTTCTATGTCCTCCTTGAACTTGACGAAGTAAAGTATCTGTCACGTTTAGTTTACTGGAAAATTTCAGCTTCTAGTTCAAATTGAAACAGATTGCTGACCTTTCAAGAGAATGATGTCAAATGGCGAACGGGTTGTTTTATTGTGGCATGTTGCAATCCAGCATATAAACATGGTCAAATCAGTTTGCAGCGCTGTGGATTTCTAAAGAAATGGAAGTTGTTTAATATGTCCATTGCAGTGATTTGATTTTACTTCCGATGTTATTAAATATGTTAAAATCGTGTTTTTTGAATGTTTTAAGTGTTCATGTTTGCCTCCAATAACTGTTTTCATGTCTAAACATATTTTTTTTTAGAAAAAGAAAACACAGTCTATGGCTGGCTAGAATTACAACCGAAAGCTTGCAGTCAAGGCAAGAAGTTGTTTGAACGTCGTAGTTCTATCATGCTATAAAGTTAATCTAAGCCACTACAGAACATATGAGTGTAGTCTTCAAAACCATTTTCGAAGGAATTAGATCCTGAGAAACTCGATATCTCATTTTTATATTGCTTGCACGTACGTGTATCGTCCTATATGGTGCTCATGACAAACTTGTGTATCACGTGTAATCTCAGGTTCTCAGGTATCTATTTTGGATAGATGCACATCTTGGCGATGGGCTAGTCGACAAATTATCACGCAAAGTTCTTACCCGAACTTGATACCTATAGTGGATACCAAATAAAATCCGATGCACGTCATAGGTGATGTCATTCATAAAAATCATGGTTACCAACAGTTGACTACATTCAATGTGACATTTCTACTTGAAGTTTAAATTTCCCGGTCTCGATTCTGTTGGTAGTGCCGTGCAGAGAAATGTGAGGTTGCCACTTCTCATTTGTTGACATCAGTTGCCATTGTCCTTTTGTCGTACTATTAGTTCTTTATTGTTTAGTTTGTGAGTTTTGCGCTATTTGAGCTTTGAATCGTTGCCTTGCCAATTTAAAATTGTTCTTTTCAGAACAACAGTTACTGTGAAGTGGTGTTAAGCATCCAAAATGCCAAAACAACTTAACAGTCGGTGTAAAGAGCTCATATCATTGAATATCTACCAAAATCAGGTGTTTTTATTCAGAAAGGAATTTAATTTTACAACAAGTTTATTTATTTTTAATATAATGGTATTATAGTAAATGGTAGGTATATATAAACAATTTATTTTATTAAATTTATTTGCTTAAAAGAAAATGTGCAAATTCTGGCAACAGCGCACAGCTCCAGATCGATGACGTGCATCGGGTTTTATTTGGTATCCACTATAACTTGAGGCTTTGATCATTCTTGAGAGTAGCACACATTTTTTTATACCAGTTTTGAGGAACAGTTTACTCACCTTTGCTCTTTAACTGGTCAATATGGTGAAATCGATGCCTGAATAACATGTCGGGGTTTTCATTGATATCATTTTCTTGTTGTAGTAATTCTTCTGCGATGTCTTCTTCCCAAAGTGGTCTTTGTAGGTGTTCTAGCTGACTGATTGCGGCTCCAGATATAGGTTGCAGCGCTATCAGTAATATCAACCACCACATCTGGAAAAGAAAACGAAGCATATAGTAATTTGGTATGAGTAACGTATGACCTAAAAGTTTCAGTTTAATTTTAACAAACATAAAATAATATCAAGTTGCCATTGGAAACAAAAGTTTGTTTACCTACTTTACTGTCAGTTGACATTTATTCATTTTTCAGTTTTCTCTCCAAGATTTCGTATAAATTAGAAACATGAAAAAGTATACACAGTTTAGTTGGGCGGATACCCAAAGCTGAAATCTGCCCAATATTCCAGAATAAAAATATTTCACGCAGAACCATTTATCGAACAATAGCCGACTGCGAGCAGGTTATTTCATGTCTGAATCTCCCAAAAAGAGAAAGCCCACGTGCATTTACTGCCCAGAGGTCAGAGAGATTGGTGAGAAGAGCAAAAAATCAGGTTGGAATGTCAGCTCATCAATACAGATCTAAGAGTACGATATGATTGGAATGGGGAAGGAATGGTCTTAGATATCGCAAGACACTTTGCCAATGGAAAAATCATTGTTTTAGATTAGGAAAAGCAATTCTGAAATGAAAGGAAACGACGAATTGTATACGTACAACGTAGAGGAGTGCCCTGCCAAGCATAAAGCGAAATTTGCAGATAAAATCCTCGTATGGTGCTCAATTCCTGTCAGGGGTGTATCCGAACATTTTCTGGGAAGAGTGGGAGGATGAAGCTTTGAATAGTCTATATTGTCAACTGCCTTTCCAAATTACTTCAGTTTGTCCACGATCATCATGCTAATGACCATATCATGTTTTGGACGGACCTAGCATCATGCCATTACTCATGAGATACCCAAAACTGGCTTCAACAACACAACATAGCTTTGGTTCCCAAAAACGATAATCCTCCAAACCCGCCGAATAGAGGATTTTTGAGCTTTACTGTCTAGGAAGACTTATCATGGGGGCTGGGAAGCCCAAGATGAAGAACAATCAAGACGGTGATTTTACGAAAAACTGAGAGAAATTGATCTGAATTCCACCCAGGACCTCATAATTCGATACTATAGTTTAGTTAAGTATTGAGTTGTAATTTATGATAACTACTTAGTGTTTAGATACATGTTTTTCATTAAAAAAAATCCATATTTTGTGCAAAAACTTTTAGTACATACGTTATGAGGAGTAAATAGATAAGTTTCAAGCTTCGTGTCCTCACTTCAACATGAATTTGTTCATTTAAGCAGATAGGATTTACGTATAAATAACATTGGCATTTAGGATTTTGATTTTGTTATTCTGATTAAGATAACAAGCTCAAATATCTGAAACATTAGAAAAACTTGTGATTGTGCAATTTTCTCCAGTTTGGCTCAAAGACTTTCCACACTCGACTGTAGCATGCTGCTCTCGTAAGTATATTTTCGACTCCCTATCAACTAGATCGGTATTGGCTCCAGCGTTGTTACAGCAAATTAATATTTTTCGTATTTTCGCAGGTTCCGCAGGTCAATCATGATTTGACGTCACTCCATTTTTCATCTACTCTATACTTATATACTTATACCTTACCTTGACGGTAATGGTGTTGATCAAAATATGCGACCTGTTGTCCGCGTTCGTATGATATCTACTCTATAGAAAGTTCATATGAGATCTATGTTTCTAATCACTACATGGCAACCACTTGACACTTCGTCCAGTAGACAGGGGAAGGCTCCATCAACCTTATCGTAGGACAGTTGATGTAACTTTTAAGACATGAGTGCTCTTTGCATTTCATCAGGGTGGGATGCTTCGTAGAATAATTATTTCCGCTTCCGCTCCTTCTAGTACCTTATCTGGTTTCCCAAACCTGGAAATCGTGGAAAACCACTTTGGCGACAGCATCTGGATCTTCTGCCGCCCTAAAGAGCTGTTCTGCTCATTGTATTTTCATCCATCTACGGATGTTGTTCAGCCACGAAATATCCAACTCCCCAACACTCTGCTTTCCTAGCTTTTACTCTTCATAGTGAGCTGATACTTGTGCCTCTAAGAACGTGATCTAGCTCATAGGTGAACCTCAGTCCTTAGGATCCACAGCAACCGGCGAAAAAGCCACATTTCTCCTTGTCTGCCGTCAATCCAATCTCTAGTAGCTGAAGTCAGTCTAATGGTATGTACTTCAGTGTCGTCTTCCATCTTTTTTTCACTCGTCAAACAAGAACCTGGCTTTATCGCTCAAACAAGAAATCCGACGGCGAAATTGAGCGCACCATCACCATGTCTCAATAGTAGGTATCATGTTCTTATCTAAGTGACCAGTTCTACTCAGAGAAGTTCAGATTCCATCTTTTTACGAACTGCTGTGAGATATACTGCAGTTGATGCTTCAAGTTCATTATTAATTTCTTAAGTCAACTTGCCCTCTCCATCACTCGATTAATAATAAACTGGCGCGCAAACTATGTCAGAAATCAATTTTCGAGTCTAGTTTCCACTACAATAAATTGAATTTTATCGTTTGCCGTCAGATCGTTCATGTTGTTTTTCCAATATTCTTTAGACTTACAAGTAAACCCCTCAATGTCATGAACAACATATTTTTCGTAGTAAGCGGAAAATGTAGAATATTTTTTGCATATGGATTTTATCCTTCCGAGGTCTTCAAACGGATTCACGAAATATCGAAGGTGTTTGTTTGTATAGGACGACATCCATCCAATTTTTCCATATTTGTAGGCGTCATTGTGACAAATAATATTTTTTTGGTGGCAATTGACGATGGTACAGTAAATTTGAGGTTGTTTTATGATAGTATAGTAGTAAATACTTTAACTTGAATCGTAGGTATTAGGAGCGGTAGTGTATCGGGTAGCTTTGTATAAGTTATTATCTAAGACCAGAAAGTGAACAATTGCATCATTAACCGGTTTCGACAATGATCAACCAAGTTGGGCATTTTGCATAAATACAGGCCAATAACGTAGTAACTGGACATGACGTTAATGCCCTCCAAACAGTGACCGATGTTGATCAAGTAGAAACTAATTTTCCTTTTCAAGCCTGCATGCAGTTTGATGGATGTGACCCTAGTCTACAGAAACTATTGATGTTACTGTAAAAACTAATCGCGACATTATTATAAACTGTTATCCGTATTGATGAGGTTTGAAGAAGCACATATTTTGATGTCTAGTTGTATGAGGACTGCTATAAAGCAAAGTACGGATAAAAAAATTGATAAGCTATTTATATATTGTTCATGCAAGAAATGAGAACTGAAACAGGGGACATGAAAAATGAGATAAAGGACTTGAGAAAAGAGCAAAAGGAGTTCATAGAAAAAAAGCACAAATAAAAATAGTTGTAAAACTAGCTGAACTACCATGATCTGAGTAAAACTGAAATACTGATGCAAAAAATGATACGAGAATAAGCAACCGAGGAAAGAAGGAATGGAATATTAGTGAAAATTGGGTTTAGTAAGCTGATAATTAATGCAGAAGAATGGAGATGAAACAAGGAATAAAGAAAAATTGCAGCTTGAAAAAAACTAGGTGATGAAAGCCAAGTGGATGGAAAGATGACGAACCAAGCAAGTAAAATGCATATCAAAAAAACTAAATATATAAAAAAATCACAAGGAAATGCAAAGAATGAGGTGGGGAACCTGTAATTTCAGGGTAGTATATCAAGAAGGAGCAATACAGAACTTGGTAAAAGTATCAAACCAGTATGAATTGGATATTATAGCACTGAAAGCAATACATTTAAGATGAACAGGAATGAGCCAGGTACAGAACTATGATCTACTCAATAGCGGGGGAGATACAAGGCAATACGGGGTAGGATTTCTAGTGCATGAAAGGCTCAAAGAAAATGTAATTAAATACACACCAATATCTGACCGACTATGCTACCTAGAAGTGGTTAATGCAGATGTTAATTCTGTGTATGCATGTCCCGACAGAAGAAAAATCGGAGGAAGAAAAAGACGTTTTTTATGAAAATGTTGAGGAAATTTATCACTCAAAAATAGAAAATGAAGAAATTCATAAAGATATTACCGGTGGTCAGAGCAAACACGAATTTAGTAATAATAATGGAAGAAGAGTTATAGAGTTGGCACAAAAAAACCAAATGAAAATAATGAGTACCCATTTTGAAAGAAAGAACATACACAAAGAAACTTGACTCTCACCTGATGGTTAATTACTTAAATCAAATTGATCACGTTTTGGTAACAAAGCAACATTGTATAATGATTCAAAATGTGGAAACGTGTAGGGGAACAGATGTCGACTCAGACCACTTTTTAGTAAGGGTTGATATGAACATGGTGAAATTTCAACAAAAAGTGAAAAGCAAATGACGATTGATCAGGAATGGAGAATGCTGCAGTCTATAGTACAAGAAGTTACAGAAAAAGAAGTAGCTAAAAAACAGATTAAACATAATAAGAAAACGTGTTATAAGGAACTGGAAAAAAGGAACAAGATACAGCAGAAGGCACTAGTTACACAAAATGAGCAAGATATGGAAGCCTATAGATCGCAAAGAAGATATACCAAGTCAATACTATGGGCGAAAAAAAGAGAAAGAATTGAGGAGGAGCTTACAAATATAGAGGAAGATCTTAGGAGAAAGGAAATGAACTTTTTTTATAGAGAAGCGAAAAAAGGCAAGCAGGGGTATATAGGTGGGATAAATACAGTAAAGGACAGGGATGACAATTTAGTACTGCAGAATGAAGAAATTAAAGGCAGATGGAGAGAACATTTTTGTGAAATGTACAACAATGGTGATGATACAGAAGGAAACAAGGGACCGTATAAAGACGAGAAGGTAGAAGATACCATAGATGAGCCAGTGAGGGAATAAATAGAAACAATAATTGAAGACATGAAGGATGAAAAATCAGCAGGGTATAACGGTATTATTGCAGAAAACATTAAATATGGAGGGGGGCTGCTGAAACAACACATACATGAATTAATCCTAAGAATATGGAGGGAAGAAGAAATGCCCAGGTATTGGGATCTAGCACTTATTACCCATTA